TTGCCAAGAAAACCCCAGGAGAGGGGTTCACCTCTTATCTGCTGCTGCATCCTCCTCCTGCCTCACATCACACCACGCCACCCCTTCCTCCCCCCTCCTCCTCCTCTGACCTGGATTTCCTCTCTTCTTCCTCGTCCCGCCTCGTGCCGTGCCACCCCTTCCTCCTCCTCCTCCACCCGGCGTATAAGACGACCCCTGACTTTGGAGAAGATTTTCCTGGGGTAAAAAGTAGTCTTGTGTGAGCAGTGGCTTCAGTGTTGGACCAGGAATATGGGAGAGGAAAGTTTAAATATCTGCTCTGTCATGGAAACCCAATGGATGACCTTGGACAAGTCACACTTTCTCAGCCTTAGAGGAGGGCAGTAGCAAACTTTCTCTGAATAAATCTTGCCAACAAAACTCTAGAATAGGGTTGCCCTATGTAAAGGGTTGAACTGAAGGTACACAACAGCAACAAAAACAGCAACTATTCTTGCTGTGACTAGGCTATTTACTGATATCTTCTCTTTCAGTGACATTGGGCAAGTCACACTCTCTCAGCCTCAGGGAAAGTCTGTGGCAAACCTCTGAACAAATCATGCCAAGAAAACTCCACGATAGGTTCAGTTTAGGCTTGCCATGAGTCAGAAATAACTTGAAGGCACACAGCAGCAGCAGCAACAACAACAACAACTTCCAGTGACTGAGTGTTAACATGCAGTGGAGCAAGGAATGGTGTGTACTATTGGGCTCCAGTAACTTAAGAGTGAAAATTTGTATTTGTTAGTTTAATGCCAGCTTCCTCAGCTAGATAATATTGGGGCAATGTTTTGAACCACACAACTACAATGGCAGAGCTGATTAAGGATGATGGGACATGTAATCCAGTCCATCTAGGGGAGAGAATCAGGTTAGGGAAAACAGATTTAACACAGTGTTGGAAAAGAGGATAAGAGTAATACTTGAGTCTTACTCATCCTACAGCACCCATTTCCCTTCCCTTCCCTGCTGGTGTAACTCAGGCATCACTCTCTCTGAGGCAAAAATTACTGCCAACAACACAATATTGTTTCACTGGTATATAATCATGATGCTATCCTGTCCATCTTTTCCTCTTGTGCTTGGCTGTTCTGTTCATGATCCTACTGTTCTGTTCATGATCAGTGGGCATGATTTGAGAATATCTCTGCTTTAGTCATCCACAAATGCTAGTTTCCCCATGACTTACACAGTTCAATTAATATTCTCCTCCACACTGTCAGTTTTTTCTTTTTCTTTTTCTTTTCTTCGGAGATCTCCTCTGAAATTCAATGATGTGAGACGTTGTTCTGTGGCTTTGTGTTATGGAAATTCCATTTCACAGTTTTCTACATTAATTTCATACACCAGATCATACAGAGCATCTCTTGGTACCATACTCAGAATTTCCATATCTATGCTGGCAGTTATTGCCATAATCCTGGTCCTGTTTGCCACAAGTGCTGAGGATAGTCCTTGTGCCAATGCTTTTTGTTTTGGGTACTAATTAAAGGTGTGGCTTGACATTTCTAAGCCCTCCCACCCTTTCATTGCACAGCTGGGAAGTCCACCCTCCTCTTATGGTCCCATCCATGCAAATTAGCCAGCAGCAGCAGCCTCCAACTGTTTAAGCCTTTGCTTGGAGACCACTGGGGCCATGTGTTTGTGTCAGTGTCTAATTGAGCTAGGGAACGATTAGCATGCAAGAGATCTGGACATGGTCCCATAATGCGATTTGCAATTTGTCCCAGACAGGCAAGTTTCCATTTACTCTGTCCATTAGGGCTCACAGTGGTGCATGCTGGCACATTTACCAAGCTGGAGTGAGCAGCTGGGAACCCGGGGGCTGCCTGCCAATTGAGCTTACGGCTGGGGGCTTGCCATTTTTGTTCTCATCAAACTTACATGGGTTGTTGCAAGTCCCTTTTCAAGCCTGTTGAACTGTACCACCCTGTAATACTGGAGCACCTCTGTTTTGTTTTGATGATTTGTTTGCTACATGGTAGTGATTTGGGCCAGGAGCATCTTGCAATTGCTGAGCATGCTCAGATATAGAATCATAGAATCATAGAATCATAGAGTTGAAAGAGACCAC